TTGTGAAGGTTAGGAAAAGTGATAAATCACACAACACATACAAATAAAGTAATTTTGGCTTTGTTTTTTATTTGTCAGGCTATATTTCAAAAGATATAATTCATCTTTCTTAAAAAAGAATATTAACCTTCATCTGGTGAATGTAGCATATAGTAAAAAATTTACTTCTTTTTTCATGTATTCTACCAATTAAGATAGAAAGGAAGAAGAGGGAAAGAGATCAAAAGAGGGGGGAAGGAAAGGGAGAGAAATTATTTTATTTGGAATGCTTCAGAATGAGTTACCTGATTTCACTTCTCTACTGCAATTTTAAACTGTTGAGCCCCGGGTCACCTATAAGTGGGAAATAAAGTAAGACTTAGGGATATTTAAGTTCTTCAACTTCATAATGCCTGTTTGAGTGCTATAGACCAAAATAAATATATGTCATGCTGGGCCTTTGACTTTACATTCTTCCAAGCTGATATAATACAATAGTATAAAAAAATTCTATATATTTATTATGTATGAATTTGCTTATTATAAAGAAATTGATTTTTTACTTTGTTGCATTTTCCATATACAGATATATAGAAAATCCCATGGAAAATCTTTTGCCCACTCCCACAAAATCTCATTATACTTTCAACTTGCGTGACTTCTCACGTGTCATCCTGGGTTGCTTACTAATTGATAGAGATGCTGTGGAGAGCAAGCACACTATGGTCCGTCTGTTTGTGCATGAGGTTCTGCGAGTGTTTTATGATCGCCTTGTTAATGATGACGATCGAAACTGGCTCTTCAAATTAATTAAAAGTGTTATAAAGGACCAGTTTAAAGAATCATTTGATGGTGTCTTTTCACATTTGAGGAAAGAGAATGCACCAGTGAGTATATTTAGTAATTTAAAACATGTCATGTTGAAATAGTACAATTGCATGAATTGTTAGAATCAGTTAACTTGTCTTTAAAAATATTACTGCTTTTTGTCTATACTCCCAAAAGTAATCTACATGTTTAATGCAATTCCCATCAAAATCCCAATGACATTCATTCAAGAGATTGAAAAATCTACTGTTAAATTTATATGGAAACAAAAGTGGCCACGAATAGCGAAGGCAATACACAGTAAAAAGAACAATGCTGGAGGTATCACAATAACTGACTTCAAACTATATTAGAAAGCAATAGCAATAAAAACAGCATGGTACTGGCACAGAAACAGACATGAAGATTTCAGTGGAACAGAATAGAGGACCCAGATATGAAGCCACACAACTATAACCAACTTGTCTTTGACAAAGGCACTAAAAATATACAGAGAAAAGACAGCTTCTTCAACAAAAACTGCTGGGAAAACTGGTTAGCAGTCTGCAAAAAAACTGAAACTAGATCCATGTTTATCACCCTATACCAATATTAACTCAAAATGGATCAAGGATCTTAATATCAGACCACAAACTCTAAAGTTGGTACAGGAAGGAGTAGGAAAATACTCTGAATTATATAGGTATAGACAAGAACTTTCTCAATGAAACCCCAGCAGCACAGCAACTAAGAGGTAGCATAATAAATGGGACTTCATAAAACTAAAAAGCTTCTGTTCATCAAAAGAAATGGTCTCTAAACTGAAGAACACCCACAGAGTGGGAGAAAATATTTGCCACTACACATCAGACAAAGGACTGATAACCAGAATATATAGGGAACTTAAAAAACTAAATTCTCCCAAAATTAATTAACCAATAAAGAAATGGGCAAGTGAACTAAACAGAACTTTCTTAAAAAAGAAATTCAAATGGCCAGAAAACACATGAAAAAAATGCTCACCATCTCTAGCAATAAAGGAAATGCAAATTAAACCAACACTAAGATTCCACCTCACCCCTGTTAGAATAGCCACCATTAGCAACACCACCACGAACAACAGGTGTTGGCGAGAACGCGGGGGAAAAAAGGAACCCTCTTTGGTCTCTCGAAAAAGAATCTTTTCTTTTTACCTCATAAGGACATAATTTTACAAGTATAATATTGTCTGCCTTGATGTTTAAAAATTATCTAATTTAATAATTATTCCTAACATGAATAAAACAAAAATTTGTGTATTTTCTTAATTTTATTTTAAAAGATTTTGAGTTTTTTAACTATAAATTTCTGTTGTATAGGTACTGAAGAGGATTTAAGGAATCTCATGTTTGCGTGATTATATGAATCCTGACCTTGAAGGAGATGATAGAGCCTATACTGAAAATTCCAGATATTCACCATTTTAATGATGTTGTAGATCAATGCTTAGATGAGTATAATCAAACTCACAAAACAAGAAATGAATCTTGTCGTGTTTAGGTACCTACATTTGATATTGAAATTGCTATTGTGAAATTTTATTATGAAATATTTTAAATGTACAAAAAGACATAAAGAAAATATACTGAACACCTGCGTTTATGAAAATATTAAAATACTAACAGTTTATCTGAAGCCTGCTGTTGTAGCCAACCCTCCTTCAATGTGTCCCTCACAACCTATAATAGTGAGAAGAAATTGATGTATCTCTTTGGACTTTACTATGCTTATGTTCCTTCACATATAATGCACAGTTTTACTTTGCATGTTTGTGCATTTTACAGTATACCATGGTGTTATAAAATAAAAGTGGTGATGCGTTTACAGGTACATCAGCATGGGTAATGAGACTTATCTCCTGGTAGGTATGTGTTGGAGCATTTATCAAGAATATCTCGGATCCTAAAGCAGCCTGGTGGAAATGCTTTGCTTGTTGGACTGGGAGGAAGTGGTCGGCAGTCTTTAACTCGTCTAGCTACTTCTATGGCAAAAATGCAGATTTTCCAACCAGAAATTTCTAAGAGCTATGGTACAAATGAGTGGAGAGAAGATATGAAGGTAAAATTACGACGGAAGCTGGTGTCTAAATGATAACGGTGCATTCTGTTGCCTATAAAGGGAGGGCCGGCCCGTGCAGATGTTGATGGTAATGCTGTCTATTGAGAACCTGCTGTGTGTGCAAACACCGTCCTGAGTTTTGCTTACATGGTCCCACTCTACGTGTCGGCAATTCAATGCGGCAGGTGTGGTTGTCTCTGTTATTGATGAGGACATGGAAGCTGAGGGAAGTGACACATGGCAGAGCAAGGCTTTCTAAGTCGTCTATGATACTATTAATTGTAGTTACTGATAATTGTGTCTTTATGTAGTTCTAGGAGGATTTGTTTCAGGTAACAACATATGATTTCCAGACTATTAAATATGAGCCACATGGGCTTGGGGTATAACAGTGGTAGAATATAGTGTAACTTAGTGATACAGCACTTCAAAAAAATGAACCTTGTGATTATGAGGAGGAAGAGGAAAAGGAGAGTCTCAATGTTGTTTTAATAATGTCTTCAGAATTTTGTTGCTGTCCCAGAAACTGGTGGAAAGGTGCAGTGCATACTTAGGGCATCATGCTTATGTGCATAGGGATTTAAAAGGTAATAAACTGAAAAAAAAGAAAGGAGATATTGTTGAACTTCTGTAGCTCTTACTTTCCCTTACCCACTACATTTTCATATCCTAAAAAACAGCAGCGATAAATGGATTTTTCTTTGCTACTTGTAGGTGAAAATGGTAAAATCCAAGCTCATACCAAAGAGGTCTACATAGACATGAAAGGAAGAATTACAGTTACATCATTTCCTTTTCTACTCATACTATAGAAAAAATTTTTAATTATTTGCTTCCAAATAAACTAATAGACTTAGAAAGGAGCATACTTCAAAGTACTAGGAATATCGACTTTGAAGTCAGACATTCAGTTTTTATTTCTGCTTTGGATTTTTTGTTAATTATATTATCTTGGGCATATTATTAAATGTTTCTATGCTGTTGTTTGTTTCTACAAACTTAATCCATCTGCTCTAAATTATCAGGTTTTTGGCACACAATTATTCATAGTATTTGCCTGTAATCCTTTTTATCTCTGTGGCATTGGTTGTAACAACCCCTTTCATTTTTTGGTTTTAAACATCTGAGTCTTTTTTTTTTTCTTAATTAATCTAGCTGAGGTTTCCTCAGTATTGTTGATCATTTTAAAATCTTAGTTTCACTGATTTTTTTTCATATTGATTCTTCATTATCTATTTCATTTATCCTGTTTTTACATTTTGATTCTTTCTTTTTTTGCTAGCTTTGAGCTTAGTTTGTTCTAAGCCTGGTTCCTTGAGGTATAGAGTTAGGTTGTTGATTTGAGATCTTTCTTCTTTTTTTAATAGAAGCAAAAGTACTGTTAAGAGGGATTTTTTTGTTGTTGTTGAAGCTGGGGTTTGAACTCAGGGCTTTGTGCTTGCAAAGTAGGCGCTCTACTGCTTGAGCCACATCTCCAGTCCATTTTGTTCTGTTTATTTTGGAGATGGGAGTCTCAAGAACTATTTGTGTGGGCTAGCCTTTAACCATAGTCTTCCTGATCTCAGCCTCCCAAGTAACTAGGATTATAGGCGCAGGCCCCTGGCCGGGCTAAGAGGGAATATTTTTCGGTGAAGCCTCTTTCAGTTTATCCTAACTAGAACTCATTGAGCTGCTTGAATTTTTATGTCACTCTCCTCAGATTTGGGAAGTTTGAGCTGTTATTACTCTAAATATGCTCTTTATCCTTTTCTGTTTCTCTCTTATCTCTTTCTGGGATTCCCATGATGTATGTATTGGTCTACTTGGTGATGTCCCAGAGGTCTCTTAGGCTGCCTTATTTTTTTTTTCATTCTTTTTAATTTTTGTTTGTTTGACTCAGTGATTTGAAATGACTCATTTTCAAGTTAGCTAACTATTCTGTCTGATCAGTTTTAATGTGAACCTGTCTAGTGAAATTTTCAGTTTAATTATTATACTTTTTCAGCATCAGAATTTCTATTTGGCTGTATTTTATACTTTCTTTCTGTTGATATTTTCATTTTGTCTTTTTTTTAAATTTAATTTCATTGTCTGTGTTATCTTTCAGCTCGTTGACCATCTGGAAGGTAGCTGTTTTTGATTCTTTGTCAGATAATTCATACCTCTGCATTTTTGTGTGGTCGGTCTCTAGAGCTTTATTTTGTTTCTTTGATTGATTCATGTTTTTTTGCATACCTTGTCATCTTTTGTTGAGAGTTGAGCCTTTGAAAAAATAGTCACTTCTTCCTGTCTTTACAATTGACCTGTGCAGAGGAAGACCTTTACCAATCAACCTAGCTAGAGGTTTTAAGACCTCGCAAACCTTTTCTGGGGTTGTACCTTCTTTGGGGTTGTGTGCTTTTATTTTAGTATCTGGAAGAGCTTTTGATTGTCTTAATTTCCTTTTTGTTTTTAGGGGTTTTGGTTGTTTCTACAATATGCCTTTGCTGTTTAATCTCTTCCTCCCCCTGCTGTCTGCCTTTGGAACTGCAGACTTAATCCTCTGCTGACTTAATCCTCCATAGTGCTCTCTGTTTTCAGTGATGTGATGAAACTGAGAGATTATCACCCAGATCCTGCCACTCAAATCCTACCACACTCTGCCTCAGGACAGAAGGAATGGGTTGTGCTTAAATTTAGCTTGTCTGGAGGCTATCTGACCTGGTTTGGGGCTCTGATAGGAACAATAGTAAAGGTTGGATACTCAGTTAGAGACTCCTGAGAGAGCCTATAGCTTCCTAGTCTGTCATCTTGCTGCTGTCACTTATTCTTCATTTATAAATATTCCTCATTTATAAAATGTGGATAACACCACCTGTTTCATAAATTACTGTGGTTAAATTGTATAATGTATTTAAGGTTCTTCATAATATAACTGGCATATAATCAGTATTTTGGAAACAGTCTCTTTTCCTATTTTGAGATAGTTTCATACATTATGTTTGAATATTACTTTAATTATATATGACACTCGTGTAAATAAGTTAAATCTATTTATATCATACATTTCTATTTATATTTTGAAATAATAATAATAATTTTGAAGCTGCCATAAGTAGATGTTAATTCTTTTTATAAAAAAAACTCACTTCTAAACTCAGGCATGGTGGGACATACCTATAATCCCAGCATTTAGGAGGCTGAGGCAGGAATATTGTGAGTTCAAGGCCAGCCTGTCTCAAAACAATACAATTTAAAAAACTAGCTTCCTTAGTTTTGATGATAGAAAATTACTTCTGGTGATAAAACTGCCTACATATTGGAAGATGCTTTAATGGGAAAATACATAATTTTATATGATGCAAAAATTCACCATTTATTTTTATGGAGTGAGACTATTAATAAAAATTAATGAGTTAAAATTATGATTTTACAATAAAAATTGAAGCTTATTTTTAAAAATTACTTGCAGAAATTGCAATGCAATTTTCACTATGAACTAGTGTGGTATGACCACCATAGTATGTTAATAACCAGTTATATGCTAACAGATACTTGATTAGCAGTTTTCCAGCGCTGGTGGTAAGCAGGACCTCTGGTTTGCAGTACTTGCCAGTTTCTGTATTATAAGAACTACCAGCATGGCTGACTTAAAGCTACCAATATGATGTTGTTTAACAGAGAGTTGAGATGTGTATAAAACATCATTATATGGAATTTTATATATTCAAATTACTTCCAGAATATAAATAGTAGTAAGTATAATAAAATAATTAGGATATTTATGATGAGATTTAAGTATTCGTTACCTTTGTTTTTAATATACCTGTGTTTTATTTAATTGTATGTTTATATAATTTAATTTTTAATTCTGGCTATACTTAATTTGCTCAAAAGTTCCTAAAATTTTAACAACCAATTCTAACAAGCCTATACAAATCAGCTGCAGCACACTACTGTGTCCATTATCTTTATTAGTTGGAAATTTGGTTGCAATTTGCAACAAACAAAAACCAAAAACAACTCAAACTAGTTTAAGCAAAAGAGGAAGTTATTGGCTTACAAGACTTAAGTGTCCAGAAGGAGGTAACCTTAACTGAATTTAGGGGTTCAAATTAGGTCCTCAGTAATTACTCTTTCTATTTCCTGGCACTGCTTTTCTCCATTTGTCTTCATTCTCTAGCAGGCTCATTCCATGAGGTAACACAGTTGGTTCCAAGTAGTTTAGATTAAATGGTTTTGTAAGCCTCCATCTTAGAACAGTTCTTTGTTTCAAGTCCATCTTAGTCCCTGAAGTAACAGTGTGACTGGGTGCTGCTTAAATCACGTGCCTTCTTCTGAGTCAATGGTTATGTCTAAGAGATTGGAAAACTGACCAGTTTAAAAGTCCCACCTAGAAGATGGGAGAAATGAAGCCCTGGTTGATAGCCCCACCAGAATCAAAATGCCCTTAAGTCAAAGTGATGCAGTCAAAAGAAGGGAAAAGGAAGAGAAAGCAAAACCACCAGATGTCTAACACGTTCTGCTCATAAGTACACTTTTTTCTTTAAGGCACTATTGAAAAATGTAGGCATGAAAGGCCAGAAGACAGTCTTTCTAATCACAGACACTCAGATTAAAGAGGAGGCTTTTCTAGAAGATATCGACAGTGTGCTCAATACTGGAGAAGTGCCTAACATTTTTGCAGCAGATGAAAAACAAGAAGTGATGGAGGTAAATGGTCTTTAGGAAATGCTGCTCTCAGCACAGGAATTTTCTTGCTCTTCAGAATCAATATAGCTTTGCAATTAAAAATTTAAAGTATACTTATCTGGATTTTAAATTGCTTCTACCATAGTTAGAAGACAGAATTTTTATTTTATAATCCCTATTTTCATAATAATAGCTTGTTTTACTAGTTTGATGATATTCAGCATAGGATATGAATAGAGTTTAAAATCATCTCTCAAATTAATATGAGAAAACATGACTTTAATGCTACTTGGTTACCTCTGTGGCTTATCTCTGCTCAGTAAAAATTTCAAAAATCTTAATAAAATGACTAGTCTCAGTCTAATAATTTCCCCCCTTCTCTTTTACTATAACTACTTTTATCCACAGAGAAATTTATCACTTATACCTGGTTGTTTCATTCTCGGTGTGCTATGATAGCATCTAGAGTGAAATAGACTCACCATGGTATTTCAGACACTCTGTTTTTGTCGTCTATGAGGTCTGGGATCAAAAAAATAAACCCTTAAGTGTGTTAGGCAACTAGAAAGTCCTCAGTAAATGGTACATTGATAGTTCATGGTATGGACTGGGAAAGAGAAAAGGAAAAAAAAGCTCTTGACTTTTATTTGGGAGCTGTCAAGAATGTGGTGAATGCTGCTGATGAATGGTGATTCTCCTAATTTGTAGGGGAAATTCACTCTCTGTGTCCCCATCCAAAGAATAATCACCTTTGGAGATGGTATTTCCTAAATTCTTAGATTTCCTGCTTGCTTCAGCTGTTATCTGTCTGTTCTTCTGTCATTTTGGTGCTATTTTGCTTCACTAATTTCTGTTTTTATGTTTGTATATTTTTATATGCATCTACATTTTTTTTAAATGGTGTATCTCTGTTTTGCTCAGTCTCACCCCAAATATTGAGGCAGTCTTCCTGCCTCAGCCTCTTGAGTAGCTGAGACTACATGTGCACATCACTACCTGCATGTTTTTTTTAGTTTAACAAAGAGCATCATGTTTTACATACTGATGCCTAACTTGTTTCTCATTTCATTATATTTATTTCTTGCTGATTCTTCCCATTAGTACAATGTACATATGCTTATTATTTTTTAAAAGGTTGTATGAAAGTCCAGTATATAGATTCTTTATGGTATTAAAAGCTTCTCACTGATGGACATTTTAAATTGCTTCCATTTTTTCTCTTAAAAACAATGTTGAAGCCAGGTGTGGGTAGCTCATGCCTGTAATCCTAGCTACTTGAGAGGCAGAAATTGAGAGGATCAGGGTTCTCCTGGGCAAAAAAGTTCATGAGATCCGGATTCAACAGAAAAGCCTGACATGGTGGAGCACACCAGCTACCGCAGGAAGTATGACTAGGAGAATCACCATCTATGGTGGCCAAGTCATAAACTCAAGACCCTATCTCACAAATAATCAGAGCAAAAAAGGGCTAGAGGTATGGTGCAAGCAGTAGAGCACCTGCCTAGCAAGTGTGAAGCCCTTAGTTCAATATGTATCTTGGTGAACTTGAATCTTCCCTATTAGGACATTTTATTAGCATTTATCAATTGTACTAAGAGGTTTCATTGTGGTAGTTCCATGCATACATATAATGTACTTTGATCATATTCACCCCCCACCCCGTTACCTGTTACTCTTTCTTATCTCCCCTCTCCTTTTAAAAAAGTTTTTCATGAGTTTTATTATTCTGTGTTCATACATGCCTATAATATACTGTGATTATATTCACATATATACCTTATCATTCTCTATCATTGTATTTTATATATTTATAAAATACAAATTATATCAAAGCCATTTTATTAATATAAGAATAAAAATTTTACCCAGGCACCCGCTTATACTTATAATCCTAGCTACTTGGGAGACTGAGATTTGGAGGATCATGGTTAAGAGACCATCCCAGGCAAATAGTTTGCAAGACCCCATCTCCAAAATAACCAAAACAAAATGGACTGGAGGTGTGGCCCAATCAGTAGAGTGCTTGCTTTGCAAGTGCAGAGCTCTGACTTCAAACTCCAGTCCCACCAGAAAAAAAAAAAAAAGAATAAAAATTTAAAACATTTATGGGGATTGATAGAACTTCATGTTCTAACACCTGCTAGTCTCATTATCAGCAAATCTCTTTTTATTTACAATATTTTTATTTTCTGATGTTCTCTAGGGTGTTCGCCCTGTTGCTCAGGCTGGCAATAAACATGATGAACTCAGTCCCTTAGCCCTGTTTGCTTTTTTTGTGAATCGCTGCAAAGATAATCTTCACATCGTAGTAGCCTTTAGTCCAATTGGAGATGCCTTTCGAAATCGTTTGAGACAGTTTCCATCCCTCATCAACTGCTGTACTATTGACTGGTTTCAGGTTTGTAATTGGGAGAGGTCTAAGTGTTGAAATTTTAATGAAATAATATTTAAGCTTGATTAATACACATTTAGTGTTTCTTGATGAGTTACTACAATGACAGGCATAGTAGTCAGCATCAGGGACTGGTAAGACTATTTAGTTCCCCACAAGGAGTTCATATTCTGGACTGAAAGACTTAAAAGGCAATCAGCAGTAAAAATTATATAAAAGAGCCATAATGTTGGTGTGTAAAAGGTATATATAGAAAGACAATAAATTTCTCAAATATGAAGATTGAATTAGTTACATAGAGGTGCATATTAGGAATCATAGGAGATCGTGTATGATTAATAAAATATACTTAATTAATCTTATACATGTCATATATATATGATTAATAAAAATTAACTTCTGGTATGAACTTATTTCATTTCCTTTTGCCTATTATCAGTTTTATGTTTAAAAACTAATTTTTCCCTTTTTAGACTTATATGCAAATTCATGTGTATGTATGTATGTATTATAAATTTGTGGACAGAAAGAGAGATTTATTGCAAGGAATTGGTTCATGTGATTATGAAGACTGACAAATCCCAAGATCTGTAATCAGAAAGTTGGAAGTCCTATATTGTGTACCTCTGGTATTAAGTCAGTAATAAAACCAATCTCCCAAGTTAAAACAGTTAGAGAAAAGGAATTCCCCCTTATTTGGGAGAAAGTCAACATTTTTGTTCTATTCAGATCTTCTCCTAATTGGATCAGGTTTGCTGACATTAAGGAGTACAATATGCTTTACTCAGTCTGTTAACTTAAATGTTAATCCCATGTAAAAACACCCTTACAGAAACATTAAGAATGTTTGAGCAAATATCTGGGCATCTCATAGCTCAGTCAAGTTGACACATAATATTAACCATAATACATGGACATTATATGCAAAGTTAGAAGGGTGGAGATAACATGGATCATTTGGTAGTTTGGTATAGCTAACTGGCAATGAGGACAGCAAGAGTTAAGTTGGAGCTTCGGATGGTACCAGGTATAAAGAGATTTGTAAGCCATTTCTAAGAATTCAGTTTTATTTTTAGCTAGTCTATATTTTAAGGGAATAAAACCACTTAGAGGCTATGTGTTGGGCAAATGGTGTTGGGCAAAACAAGAGACAGGAAGACCATTGGACAGCAATTTTTCTTGCAGCAGATGATGGTGCTCACTGCCTTGCTTAAACTTAGTGCATATTATCACTGCCTTCATAAGAGCGTTAAGAATTTATCATTTTGAAAATGGTAGCTCATGATGCCTTCTATCAAGTTACTTTATGCACAACAGAATGTGAACTACACATTGACCCTAGATAACTTATTTGAAAAATTAATTTTTGGTACTAATGTGTTTTATTTATTTTATTTTTGCCTATTTATTATCAATTATTTATGTTTAAAAAGCAATTCTGCTCTTTTGAAGATTACACAGGTTTCATCTAGTGCGTGTGTTTGTGGTAATACAATAAAAACTATGTGAAGCAATTATGACTTATGCAAGCCTTATCTTAAAATTGCTTCTATTAAGTAACCAAAACCCAAAGCCAGGCTAACGTAATCTGCTCAACCATAAGTGTTCTGTGAAATTTTGCAAATGTAATTCTTCCGCTTCTGGGTATCTTTTTTAAAGCTATGAGACTTTCAGTTCTATTATAAGTGAGTCATAACTGTTGAGAAGATTAAAGAAGAGGGATGTTACAAATAGATAAGAGAGATTAAATAGATAACAGAGAAGGATGGAGACTTTACAGTGAAGCTTTGGAGAAATAAAACCTGTGTTGGAAGAGCTGATGGCATTATTTGGGACTGAACTTGGGTATGTGACACTCAGGAAGTAAGGGTAAGCCACTATGTATCATGCAGTTAGAAAGGCATTGGCTTTGTTGTTGTTGTTTTGATACATCTTTAATCTACTAGGTAGAGTATTACTTACTAGGGGTGCCAAAATTCAGAGGATAAGGGAAACAATTATTGGCATGCTTTGTATGAAATATCTCATTTTCATTAACCTTGAGGCCTGATGGAGTGGCTAAAGTGGTAGAGCATCTCCCTAACCAATATAAGGCCCTGAGTTCAAACCCTAGCATTGCCAGAAAAATAACAACAAACAAACAAAAAACATTGATACCATTACTCAGTTTGTATGGCAGATGGCCATGTATTATAGATGTTTTTCAAAAATCCTGAGGGATCCTGCGGTAAACTGAAAATTGAAGACATAATGCAAATATAAACAGACAGTAGAAGAATGGTATAACTTATAGGAGCCAACTTGTGCTCCAACATGGAGCAAACAAGGACAACTTAACAAATCAGATAATAAGTTGGTAAAAAAAAAAACAAACTTAAGAAGGCTATTTGGAATATGAATTTGCGTTGACTATTTAGACAACAAATCTTATCCCCAGGAGATATCATATCCTTCAATATCAGCTTATGAGGGCTTAAGAACTATTAATGGTTACCTATCCAACAGCCACCTTCTACCCACTCTGTCCTTGGTGACAGAAATCTGATTTTTTTTAGGGAAATCACCGTCCATGTAGCTTTTCACAGGAATTGATTTATGGTTGTTCTAAGTCAATATCGGTGCTCTTTCTCTTGCTAGTAATTGTTTTATACATGAGCCTGTATATGAACCATTTCTTGCCAGTGGATTCTGAGGTAAAGTCTGCTGAGAAGCTTTGGGAGAAAATTTTTTTCTTTCACTGTAAAAAGAGTTACAAAGTAGGAAAAGGGATTTTGTGTCTCTGAACCTTGTTACTTGAGGATGTGATCCTATAATTATAGCAGTAATTTTGTCATCAGAGTGGGACAAGCCCAAGGATGAAATAAAGTATACTGAGAATGGTGGAGCAAAAAAGTTGGAAAGGACTGGAATCCCTGATGACATGGTTGAGTTTGTGAGTTAAGACACTCTGGAGGTTCTCTGGAGTGCTTATTGTATGAGATTATATATCTCCTTATTTTTTAGACGACATGATGATACTTATTTTCTGTTGCTTGATATATGAATATTCTAACTGCTACAGGTAGTATGAAATCTGCATTGTTAGCAATCATGTAGCACCCAATATAAAATGATGGACCCAGAACACAAAGGTAGGCCTCTGTGATGTTTTTAATGATATGTAAGTCATATGATTTTTAATCTGGTATTTTAAAAATTTCATTGATCTTAATATTAAGTGTCCAGAAGCCTCTTTTGGGTTTAAAAATATGCTGGTACATTTCCTCTAAAGTCAGGAATGAGACAAAGATGTCCCCTTTTACTCACTATAGTGCTAGAATTATTAGCCAGAGCAGTAAGGAAAGAGGAAAAAAAGGAATACAAATAGGAAAAGAAGTCAAATTATTCTGATTTGTAGATGATATAATTCTATACTTTAAGAATCCTAAAGCTCTACTAAAACCTCTTAGTTCTAGCAAAGTATAAGGATACAAAATAATCAGTAGCTTTTCTATGTATCAATAATGAATAGGTTGAGAAAGAAGACAGGAAGACAGTCCCATTCACAATAGTCTCAAAAAAAAAAAAAGGTAAATGCCTAGGAATAAACCTAACTAATAGAGGCAAAAGACTTCTATAGTTAAAACTATAAAACATTGAAGAAAGAAATTTTTAAAAGATGGAACGATCTCTCATGTTCATGGATAAGCAGAATTAATATTGTGAAAATGGCTATACTACGAAAAGCAATCTACAAATTCAATGTAGTCCCCATCAAAATCCCAATGTCATTTTTCATAAAAATAGAAAAAAATCAGTTCTAAAATTCATTAGGAAGCACAAGACTCCAAACTGTGAAAGCAATCCTGAGCAAAAAGAGCAACGCTGGAGGTATCACATACCTGACTTCAAATGATACTACAGAGCTACAGTAATAAAAATAGCATGATATTGGCACAAAAACAGACACATAGGTCAATGGAATAAAAGATACAGAGAAAAGCCTACACAGCTACAATTATCTGATTCTTAACAAAGGCAACGAAAACCTGCATTGGAGAATGCAGTCTCCTCAACAAATGGTGTTGGGAAAACTGGATATCTACGTGTAAAAGACTGAATGTAGACCCCTACCTCTTGTTTCATATAAAAAATTAACTTAAAATGGATCAAAGATCTTAATGTAAGACTTGAAACTTTAAAATTGCTATAGGAAAATATGGAGGAATCTCTTGAACATGTAAGTATTAGAAATGCTTTTCTAAATAGAACCCCAATCACTCAGAAAATAAGAATGAGAATTAAAAAATGGGATTGCAGCCAATTGAAAAGCTTCACATAGCAAAGAAAACAATTACTAGAAGCAAATAAAACCTATGGAATGAGAGAAAAATCTTTGCCAGTTATTTAATAGATAAAGGGTTAATATCCAGAATATATAAAGAACTACAAAAATTAGACACCAAAAGAATAATTCAACTAATAAATGGGAAATGAACAGACAGTTCTTCTTTTCAAAAGGAGTACAAATGAGTAATTAGCACATGAAGAATCTTTAGCCATAAAGGAAATGCAAGTCAAAACATCAAAATTCCATCTCACCCTAGTCAGAATGGCTATCATCAAGAAAACAACAACAAATACTAGTGAGGATACATGGGGAAAGGGATCCTTATACGTTATTGGTGGAAATTAAATTAGTACGGCCACTATGGAAATAATTATGAAGGTTCTTTTAGAAACATATGATAGAACTGCCACATGATCCTGCTATACCACTCTTGGGCATATATCCAAAGAAATGTAAGTCAACATACAGTCAAGATACCTACCTACCATGTTTATAGTAGCATTATTCACAATAACCAAAACATGGTATTCTCCTAGGTGCCTATTTCCTCCTAATACTGGAAAAAAATCTGAGGCGGGTAGGAAGGGTGGCAGTGAATGTAACTCACTGGTAGTGTGCTTGCCCAGCAGGCATGAGTCTCTGGGTTCAATCCCCAATACCACAAAAAAAAAAATTCTGAAGATAAGCAGAGTAGAGCTTTTATGATTTAATCAAGTCATCAGAATTCCCAAGTTCTTTCTGCTTTTCTATCTTTGGCATGTGATTTCCATCCTCATAGTCACCTTATGGTCTCTGAAATGGCTACTAGAGCTCCAATTTTCACAACTGTATTCCAGGCAAGAGGTAGAAGAACGAAAGTAAGGCAAAAAGTGTACAATGCCAGCTCTTAATCCTCTAAAGGAGCCTTCTCCAAAGTCCCACTGAACAACTGCTTATATGTCATTGACTGTTATGAATTACAAAGGAATCTAAGAAATGTTATCTTTTAGCTGGGCATATTGCTATCCAGAATTAAAAAATGGGAATACTAAGGAAGAAGGGGACACATAGATTAATGCACTACAAATGAGAGTCTAGAAATAAACACATTTATGGTCAAAATTTAAAAAATTTAAAAAGGAAGAAGGGGATAAGAGACATTGAGTAGACAACTAGCATCTTCTGCCACTGACATGCTAAATTTGGTATGCCTAATAGACATTCAAGTAGAAGAGTCAGGAAAGCAATGCAATATATCTTTGAAATGTAAAATAAGTATCTTTGATCCTTCCTTTAAATTGTATTCTTATTTTTAATTTCAATGTACAAAAAAATGCTTACTTGATCTTTCAGAGACCTAATAAATACTGTGAATTGCTCAATTCTATTTTCTTTGTTAAGGTTTTAGTTTTCTCAATTCCAAATTCTCCTCCCATAGAAAGTCACTTAATTTGTATAGTTGGATTGGACCTATTCATCTTAAGTTTCATAAGATTTTCTTTTTCTTATTTTTTTAGCCATGGCCTGAAGATGCTCTTGAACTTGTAGCTGTGAAATTCTTAGAAACACTGGAACTTACTGAGGTTGAACGACGAGAAATAGTTCCAGTCTGCAAACACTTTCACACCTCTGTTATGGATCTTTCAGAGAGGTTAATAGTAACAAATTTTGAAATGACATGAATGGCTTGATTTTTAAATTATCTCTTTCTGTGTAAGCCCAGAAGTTTAAGATATTATTGTGTCTTCTAGATCTTTCTGGTTACTTAATTAGCTAAGCTCACCTAACCTGTAAGTCATAGAAAGCTACTTTGTCTAGCTTTACCAAAAGGAGGAATTTATTATAAATATCCAGGGTGTCTCAAAAAACTTGAGTGAAAGAATGTATCTGGATCTCAAAAGTGACAGGAAGCAGGAGTTAGAAAGCAATGTTTGCATAGTTGCTATGAGATACTATTGTTTTCCTGTATATTATAATAGTTTTGTATTGTACTTCTGGCATTAAATCGTTCAGCCAACATGTAACATACTTGTGCAAGGAATGATTCATACTTGCTGTCCTAACTGCAGTCCTCTTTCTAACTCTGTTTGCCTACATTACACAGTATCATGGGTCTCCTACAAGGTTAGATCTCCTTGCTTATGAAGCATGTAGAAAATAATGCCTGTATCTTTTTTTGCTGGTAGTTTACCTTTATAGATATCTTCATTGACTTGTGCTTTTTAAAATATGTCATTGTTTCTTAATATTTTGCAGACGAGAAAAATGCTATGTGGTTATGTGTAGAATTTCAGAGTTTTTTAAAGATCAAGAACTCAGCAGCTTCCACATAAAACTAAATCTTTATTCTTAAATGTTTATTGTTAATGCTGTGTTGGGGTTATCCCTTTGTAAAATTTGCTACTTATACTAAGATCTGTTACCTGCCTGTCTTTTAGGTTCTTGCTTGAGTTAGGAAGACATAACTATGTTACTGCTACTTCTTATCTTGAACTTATTGGCTCATTTCGACAGCTGTTGACTAAGAAGCGGCAAGCTGTCATGGGAGCAAAACAACGATATGTAAATGGGCTTGACAAATTAGCTTTTGCTGAGTCTCAGGTAAACTTGATGAGCTGCTCAAAATGGTAATATATAATAAGAAATGTTAGAAAAGTAATTTATAGAGTTTATTAGAATATGTTATATGTCAGTTCTGTGATATGTACTTCACATGCATTCCTTCAATCATTTCATGTAACAACTCCGTGAACTAGCCACTTTTATGGTCTTCATTGTACAGATGAATTCAGTAAGTTTTGGAGGCGTTTGTGAAATTGCCAGTCCACTGAGACTCAAATGGCATTCATTTTTCAATTAATTTTTTTGACATTTGAGATTATAAGAAGTCTATGTTGACTTTTTATTGTAACAGCTGTCAAATCCAAGTTTTGGTTATTTTTTTTAATGAGTCAACTGATAGTAACACTCATTAGTGTTAGTTCAATTCAAGTAATAGAAGTCTTTTTTTCATTTGTCTGTATATTGTATACCATGCACATAGTGTAATGGGAATACCTGAGCTACTGGTTCATTTCTGGTTATACTTCTTTCATGGCTACTTTTTCCCACTGTAGTAAGATACCCTATACTATAGATTCTACTTAAGGAAGAGAAAGTCTTTTATGAAAACATCTGGAGGCACCTCGTGGTCTTGTTTATCATGAAAGAAGTGGAAAATGTTAAGATTTTCTGACCCAATGCTTTATGATACACTTAAATTTCTATTTTCTATGTTTGGTTTCAGTAGCTATTGTAACAGTGGAAACTTAATGGCAAACTGTTTATTTAGGTTGGTGAAATGCAAATGGAGCTTGTTCAATTACAGCCCAAGCTGGAGGAGGCTAAAATTGAAAATGCACGTATGATGCAGGTAGAGTATCCCTAATGTTTCTTATTGATGTCAAAAGACAATTGAAGTATGTAAAATTAGTCTTGAAAATAACCCTTAATTTTTGTCACTAGGACCTAGGGACTTTGCCCTTTTCTATTGAATAAATATTGAGTCCCATGTAGGTTCTGTCATTTTTGAAGGGAGGTGTCAAACCCATTTCTAAATTAGGTCACATATATTTGTATTTCTCCTCATTTTATCCTATTTAATATAATTTCTATCCTTCAAAATTATGTGTTGAATTCAAATATCTTTTGTCTCTAGGATTGAGGAAGCAATGTTACTTGAAGAACTGTCTTAATTTTTTGTTTATTTCTCTTCTTTAGATTATTGAGATAGAATCTGCACAAGTAGAAGCAAAAAGAAAGTTCGTGAAACTAGATGAAGAGATAGCCAGTGGGAAGGCTGAAGAAGCACAGGCTCTGAAAAATGAGTGTGAAAGTGACCTAGCCGAGGCCATTCCAGCCTTGGAAGCAGCTCTGTCAGCATTGGATACACTTAAGGAAAGTGTCTGAATTAGCCACCTTGGGTTTCATCAACAAAGTGAAAATTCTTTGGTTAATTAGGAGTGGTTGTATTTAAGTGGGTGATATATATTGCTCTTGTCCAGCCAAATGAAATTTGCCTCTTAACAGCTCTTCTTTTATATATTATCATATTTATATTTTTGCTTTTCATATATAATTTATCATTTTTAGTCAGGGTATTCTAGTGGAATAGGTTAAGAAGTCTCTGAGAGTCCAAAGTAATTCTGTACATGGACCAGGAGACATTAATTTTAAAAAGAGTGTTTTTGCACAAGGCTCTGGGTTCAATGCTCAATATATTTAAAAAAAAAACTGTTGGAGCTACTTCTGCAACCTTCTATACATATATGTGCTAAAAGTAATTTCTAATGCAGCTGTGAGTGGCATCTGTCTGCCCCACATTGTATTACATGACTTTTTACAAGGTCTTTAAGCAAGACTAGACAGTCTCACCAAACAGAACAGAATAGACAGTGTCTGTTGACTGTGAATGCTCATTGTGATCTGGTACCTCAGGCTATTCGTATCCCATTCTTTGTCTACTTTCCTAATCAATGCCTTAACTTTCAGGACCTGGAGAGACTGTGAACTCAACCTCTGGGTAATTCAGCATCTTACAGGATTAAGCTCTGCAGGACTGACTTTCAGTTGCTTCAGCCCTACAGTAATTATAAAACAAGAGATTGTTTTTAAGGTGCTTATAGAAACTGCCCAGTGTTTTCACTGTGTTGTGAACCAGAAATTTAAAACCCTGAGCTTATTATTTTTTTTTTTCATTTTTCTTTTATTATTCATATGTGCATACAAGGCTTGGTTCATTTCTCCCCCCTGCCCCCACCCCCTCCCTTACCACCCACTCCACCCCCTCCCGCTCCCCCCTCAATACCCAGCAGAAACTATTTTGCCCTTATCTCTAATTTTGTTGTAGAGAGAGTATAAGCAATAATAGGAAGGAACAAGGGGTTTTGCTGGTTGAGATAAGGATAGCTATACAGGGCATTGACTCACATTGATTTCCTGTGCATGGGTGTTACCTTCTAGGTTAATTCTTTTTGATCTAACCTTTTCTCTAGTTCCTGGTCCCCTTTTCCTATTGGCCTCAATTGCTTTAAGGTATCTGCTTTAGTTTCTCTGCGTTAAGGGCAACAAATGCTAGCTAGTTTTTTAGGTGTCTTACCTATCCTCACCCCTCCCTTGTGTGCTCTCGCTTTTATCATGTGCTCAAAGTCCAATCCCCTTGTTGTGTTTGCCCTTGATCTAATGTCCACATATGAGGGAGAACATACGATTTTTGGTCTTTTGAGCCAGGCTAACCTCACTCAGAATGATGTTCTCCAATTCCATCCATTTACCAGCGAATGATAACATTTCGTTCTTCTTCATGGCTGCATAAAATTCCATTGTGTATAGATACCACATTTTCTTAATCCATTCGTCAGTGCTGGGACATCTTGGCTGTTTCCATAACTTGGCTATTGTGAATAGTGCCGCAATAAACATGGATGTGCAGGTGCCTCTGGCGTAACAGTCTTTTGGGTATATCCCTAAGAGTGGTATTGCTGGATCAAATGGTAGATCGATGTCCATCTTTTTAAGTAGCCTCCAAATTTTTTTCCAGAGTGGTTGTACTAGTCTACATTCCCACCAACAGTGTAAAAGGGTTCCTTTTTCCCCGCATCCTCGCCAACACCTGTTGTTGGTGGTGTTGAGCTTATTATTTTCTTTATGCTCTCTAGCACATTTAAAAGCCACATGCTACCCCATGATCTTTCTTTATTCTCTCCTTAGAGGTTCATCACAGCAGACTCTTGAGTTTGACAAAACCTCCATTTTAATAGGTACCCCCTTGTATGCAATTATGACAATTTAAGTAACTGTTTTTATTACTGTGTTCCATGAGCTTTCAGCACTTGCTCCTCTGATACAGGATTCTTTATTCCTTCAAACTCCAGATCATTGATCTTAGGTTTCTCTATCATCTGGTTCTTGTACCCTTGTTGCTTGTGCACATGTAATGCAGTATGTGCGTATAATGCAGTATATGTGTTACTGCATTATGTGAATTATGGTTTAATTGCAGACAACAGAGTTGACTCTTTTAGTATAAGCACATAAAGATTTTTCAAGGAAACTTGTAAATGGATTGCAGAATTGTTGGAAGAGCTATAGAAGCAGATCTGAGACTCGGTCACTAGGAATAACTCTTGATGCCAAATTTCAGTAATGTTTTACAAGAGCAGCTGTTCCTTAAAGAAGGTGGCTTGATGAGCCTGCCTGCAGCACCACACTGCCTCCACTATAATCGGTAACACAAAATGGAAGTCTCACACCATTTATTGTCCAAATTCTAGCATCACTCAAATGAAAACTATTTCCACCCAGAGCTCTAGTTTCATGGGAAACTATGATATATAGTTGTTAGCTTTCCAGCATTTGCACCACTGCAAGGAATGTCAGAGGATATTAGAGTGAGTAATAGGGGAGTATGTAGTATCTGTCAAGACTATGTACCTTTCTAGAAATTGACGTTGGAATTGGGACCTTCTTTCATTTTTCTCGATAAAACATACATATAATATATATAAGCATATATGGAATATATACAATTAAGTTTTTGTCTATATTAGGGTTCTTAACCTAGTTACCACATATAGGCATGGTATGTGATTGTATACATGCAAAAGTACATTTTCAGCAGGGTTCATAGCAGTCATAAAGATCTCATAAAGTCCTCATAAAGATCTATGATCCCCCAAACATTTGAGGATCATCAGTCTCAGCCTGTGCTAAATTCTCTTTTACTGATGTTTTTATTATTCCCCGATATTACTTTTAAAACTTTCATTATTTACAAACAACTGTACTGAAGTTGTCTTGTTTTCTTTTGATTTAGCCTGGTGATATTACAATTGTGAAATCAATGAAGAATCCTCCAGCTGGTGTTAAACTAGTTATGGCTGCTGTTTGTGTAATGAAAGATATAAAGCCAGAAAAAATTACAGACTCTTCAGGAACTGGAGGCAAGGTAATAACTAGACACAGATTTAAAGCATATGCATGAAAGTGCAGAATTGAAATATCAACAGTACCCAATCCAGGAAAGAAACACTTTTCCAGATTGAGTATATTCAGAATTATCTATAGAAAACACTGTATGTGTGTACTCTGTGGAGTCTAGTGTCAGAAAAATGTGGTTCCGATTGTTTCTGTCTCCTTTTCTGTCTATGTAGGTCTCACTGTTACAGGGTTGGAATTGAACAAGATACCCGAACTAAGATACCTATACTTTTGTAGCTAAGATTCTTGAGAATGTAACTCATAACATATAGGTGTTGTTTCTGAGCATCCAAAAATTTCTGCTGAATTACGGAACTAGAATAGTGAAGGTGTAAAAAGCATGTGCTCTGGAATATCTATGTTCCAAAATCAGGATCCCTCATTAGCAGTGAGATTGGATAAAGTGCTTAACTTCTGTGGGATTCTGTACAAACAGGATAATCATAGTACTACTTTACATACTTAATGTGAGAATTAGATTAATTAATAAATACAAGGCTCTTATACATAAAGCCTCATAAATAGTAAGCTCACAGTGTTATTACAATTATTATTTAAGGGTATATCACTTAAGACAGAAGACATAATATCCATCCTAAACTAAATTTACAGACTTATTTTCTTTTTTTATATAAATTTTTTTTAGGATTGAACAGGGGGATTCACAATGACAATTCCAAACAGACTTATATTGTACATTGGTTAGATCGCCCCCACTATCTCTCCGCCTCAACCCCTTCCGCACTCCACTTAAAAAAGTTGCAGGAGATTACTTTGTTCTATTTCATATAGGTATATGAAGTCCATCAACCATACATGATCACCTTAATCTCCTTCATTCACCCTCTCCCTTCCCACAAGTACCCCCACATACACTGTACCTGTTTTACAGTCCTATCTTTTGTTATTAATATTTAAGTCAACAGACTTGTTTTCTTTTCAGGGTTTTATAATACCTGAATTTAAATTCCAGAATTGGAAAATTGGTTTTTTTGCTATTCTATCCTTCATTGAAATAATTTTTAAAGGCTATTATGAAGTTATTCTCATTTATACACTACCCACACACATTTTCTCTTCCCTATAAGTAGGAAAAAGAATGTTGAACTAGTTATTCAACATCTTTTACCAGCATGTGGCTTTATCCTGTAACTGGCAGAGAAATATATAATCTTGGGTTTCTCCTTTCTCTTTTTATTTCACTCAGAAAGCCTAGATAGGTGAGGAGAAAATATAATACTTTTTGCTTTTCTTGTTTCAGAGAGTCAAAGAATAAAAGAACATGAAAGTTGAAGTGATGAAAATGTGTGTTTGTTTTGTCAGCGCTGGGGTTTGGGCTCTGAGCCTCACACTTGCTAGGCAGGCACTCCTACTGCACGATCCACTCCACTAGCCGTTGTTTGTTTGATTGTGACAGGATGTCACTATACAGTTTAGACTGGCCTGGAACTCACTCTGTAGCCCAGGCTGGGCTCAGACTTATGATCCTTCTGCCTCAGCCTCTGAATGTTGGGACTACAAGGATGCATAACCATGCCTGACCAAAAAAAAAAAAAATGTATTTTCTTATGTGAAATTGTGATGGTGTCTATGCTAGCCACTTTCCCTAAGTTTTTGAAAGAAATAATTACTCGTTTTCTTTTCGGTGCTTAATTTTTTAAAAAATTGAATATATAAGTTCGTCCATATTTAAAATATTTCATATATTTAACATGGTCTCAGGAGGAGGAGATTTTAGTTTCCAAGTTTATATTTTGAATGTATATAAACAGAGAAATAATCACTCATTTTCTTTTCAGTGCTTAATTTTTTAAAAAATTGAATATATAAGTTCATCCGTATTTAAAATATTTCATATACTTAACATGGAGGAGGAGATTTTAGTTTCCAAGTTTATATTTTGAATGTATATAAGCAGTTTTTCTGAATAATGTCTTAAATTTTAAGAAGAAAAATGTTACATTGAGCATTTAAAATTATACATTTATTAAATTTCCATAAATTTTATTTATAGATATTCGATTACTGGGGACCTAGCAAAAAACTTCTGGGAGATATGAATTTCTTAAGAGATTTGAGAGAGTATGACAAGGACAACATTCCAGTGAGTTACATTGATTTTTTTTTTTTCTTAATGTGACTTTGCCAAGATGTGTATGATCTTTAAAATTATGGGATGTCTTATAGAACATAAGGAGAAAGTGCTTTTCTTGGATTAAGGTCATCAATAAGGGTATATTACATTTATTAAGCCTATATTGTGAATTCTTGTAATGCATAACCACTCTTTCAGATGATTAAGAAGTTATTTAATATGTTATTACTTTAGTGTATTATTGACTTGAATGAGTTCTCTAAATGTTTCCTTATAATAAACAAGCTGTTTATTAGAAATCTTATGCACATATTTATATAATACTAAAATCATATTTTCCATTCAGTTGTTGTTTACTTCTTAATGTTCAATTGTTCTCACTTGTTCTCTTGGGCTGGAAGTGTGGCTTAAGTGGTAGAGCACCTCCCTACCAAGTATGAAGCCCTGACTTCAAACCCCAATACTACCAAAAAAAAAATAATACTAATCTCATTTGTTCTCTCAACCTACAAGTCTCATAGTATTTTTTCCTCCTTTTATTTTATCATTTTTACATTTACTTACATGAGTATACATTGTTTGTGCCCCCTCCCCCCTCCCCCCTCACCCCCATAAAATTTTTGGAAGAAACATCTTGCATATTTTCCTCACAAATATTACTAACATTTCTGCTACAGTTATGCTTATTTTTAAATTATCCCAAAACATTGATTTTGCTTTTGGAAGACAACTTATTCAATGTCTTTATTATGTTTGATTTTTCCCATCTTGTGATAATGTATGTTGAAATTCTAAAATCCAAATGTTTGTTGTGTAGGTGACTGTTATGCAGAAGATTCGTAGTGAATACTTGACGAACCCTGAATTTGACCCCCCTAAGGTTGCCAAAGCTTCTTCAGCAGCTGAGGGTCTGTGTAAGTGGATCATGGCTATGGAAGTATATGACAGAGTTGCAAAGGTATATCAATCTTCTATTAAAGTGTTCCCAGAAATTAAAACCTATGCATATATTTACTAGTAAAGAAGTTTCTCCCCAGAGGCTAGGGTTAAGAGTGGGGAGGTGGCCCAAATAATGTATACATGTAAGTAAATGTAAAAATGATAAAATAAAATTGGAAAAAAAAGAAGTTTCTCGACATGATTCTAGAAAGTACTCATCTCTCAAGAGCTTTCTTGAACTCTGTTTCTCTCAACCTAACTGGGGGTGACTGGCGATGCAGAAAAGACAAAAGATAGACAGACATGCATAAAGTTGGGGCCAGATGTGCTGGGCGCTCGGATGGAGACGCACAACAGCCTCATTACTTCTTTTCTCTATTATTCCCTTCTTTTACTTTGCTTCTTTTCTCTATCTTTAAAACCTTGCTTCTAAAGTCTTTCTTCTTTTCTGTTCTTTAAAGTCTCTTTCATTAGACTCACACAGTCCCATGTTTGCTTAATCTCTCTTAAAGTTTTGGTGCTCAGACTTGCACTGTCCCATGTTTCTTCTAATCTCTAGCAAAACTCAGCAGCAGCAACATCATTCTCACAAGCAGCCCACCTATCAATCCAATCAAAATCCCCATCCCATCAAATCAATCAAATCCAATCCCCTCCTTCTTTAGCAAGTCTTTTATATCCAGTGGTAAACAAGGAGGTAGAGCAACAGTTCTTGGGGAGAGGCGTGACATTGTAACAAGAGAAACCTGCTCTCTACTTCTCTGAACATAAACAATTTAGGAAAAGCAGCTGTGCTGCCTTTTGCCTCTCGCTTTCTTCTGTGACTGGGGCCATGCCAAACTCAGCCTGCAGATCATTGAGCACAACTGTGCTTATGTCAAGTTCTCACAGGCTTCGCATAATCTGCTCCCCACACTCATCCTGCTGTGAAATCGTCAGATTACTGGAACCTAGTAAAGGAAGAGTGCAACCTGCTTTGGCTGGGATAAGTGGTAGTGCTAGAGGAGCAGGGATGATAATAGAATTGTCCAAACTGACCTATAGCAGTAAGGCCCTGAGGGAAAGGCGGATTAGGGTTTTATGAGGAAAGAACAGAAGTAGAGAAAAGTCCAAAATATCACAGGCAAGGGAGACTCAGGCATACAGCTATAATCCCAGCTACTCAGGAGGCTGAGGTAGGACAATCACAAGTTTGAAGCCAGCCTGGACTACATAGTGAGTTCTAGGCCAGCCTGGGCAACTTAGCAAGCCTGTTCAAAATTTAAAAATAAGATAAAAAAGGGCTGGGGTTATAGCTCAGTGGTAGAGTACATGCCTATGAGGCCCTGGGTTCAGTTCCCGGTATTCTGCTTTTTAGATTCTGTACATGAATGAGATCAGGTGATGTCTTTTCTGTTCCTAGCTTATTTCACTTACCCTAACATCTTCCAGGTTCATCTATGTTATTGCAAATGACAGGATTTCATTCTTTTTGTGACTGAATAATAGTCCATCATGTTTAGGTACCACATTTTAAATAATCCAGTTGTCTATCAATGGACCCTTAGGTCAGTTCTGTAGTGGTGGAAATGCAAGTATCTTTGGACATGCTAATTTCAGTTGCCTTTGAATGTAAGGAGTGGTTACCAAAGACTTGGGTGCATAGGAGGGAGAAGGGAGGGGGAGATGTTGGTCAAAGAGTGCATAACTACAATTAGGAAGAAAGGATAAAATGTGTCTAGTGTAGACAAGTATATAGAGACAGAAAGTAGATAAGTGATTGTCTGAGGCCAGGAGGTTAGGAGGAGAGTATGGGCAGAGGAGTAGAAGTGGGAAATGACTAGTGATGGTTATGGGGTAATGAAAATGTTCTAAAATTGATTATGATGATGTGAACATACTAAAAAAATTGGATTGTGCTCGTTTGTTCATTTGTTTATTTATGGTAGTACTGGTATTTGAACTTAGGGCCTCATGCTTGCTAAGTAGGTGCTCTACCACTTGAGCCACACCCCTAGCGCCCCCCCTCCCTTTTTTTTTTGCTTGAGGGTTTTTTTTTTTTTTCCAGATAGGATTTTGTGTTTTGCCCAGGGTTAGCCTCAGACCATGATCCTCCTAGCTACATTCTCCCATGTATCTGGGAAATACATGCTCCACAGACCCACCTTTTTTTTATTGAGATAGCCTCCTAACTTTTTTTTTTTTTCTTTTTTTGGTGGTACTAGGGTTTGAACTTAGAATCTTGCACTTGCTAGTGCTCTACCACTTGAGTCTCAATAACTTTTTTCTCTGGCTGGCCTCAAACTATAATCCTCCTAATCTCTACCTCCCAAGTAGCTAGGATTACAGGCCTGAGCCACTGAGCCTAGCCTGGATTGTATTCTTTAAATGAGTGAATTCTATGATATCTGAATTATATCTCAATGAAGTTGCTTGTTTTTTAAAAAGTTGATTCAAAATATCAAAAGTGAGAATATATTAAGAGTAAGAAAATCCAGTAAAGTTAAGGAGCAGAGATCCCCCAAAGCAACACTGTACATTGATATCCCTATCAACTCAACTTTTGTAGAGTACTCACTGGGGCAAAATTCCTGAGAAACCAGAGAATGAAAAGTGCATTTTATAAATGTGTCTAGTAAAGGACCAGAAAAACACATACCTTGAACCCAAGGAGCAGGAATATAAGTTAAAAGGCAGATGAAAATATATGGTAACATGTATTTAGAACAAACTCAGAGAATAGAATGAATGATCAGGCTATAGCAATTGGGAAGGTGTTCCTCAGTGGGCTACAGCTCAGAGATACTCCTTACTCTGCTTATAAAGAGACTTTGGTTTTCAGTTTCAGGGGAGTAGACCTGTATTAAACCCATCAAAGAAATAAAACTACTTTTATCTGGGATGTCCTTTCATTGAACATCTTATCTCTTCACATAGTAGTCCACGGCAGGTCTGCTGCCTCTCAGTTTAGCTCGTTTCTACATGTCCCACAGGGTATATGGGTTGTTCTGGATCCTTTCTACAAAGCAGAGAAGCCAAGGGACTCAGGTGCTTTCCTGTCTTCCCACTCTACACCTCCACACTGCCATTTTTATTCTGATGCAGCTGCCCCATGTTGATGCAGGAGGGTGGAAGGGAGATACTCAGCAATGTTTCCTCTGAAGTTAAAAGTAGAAAAAAGAGCTCTCTGCCTACTCTCTACTTATTTAACACACTTCCTTCAGGATCTCAGATCAGAAGAGAGGGAGCAGACATTTTGTGTCTGATACATTTTCTCACTTCCCTTTTTTTTGGGGGGTGGGCCTCCATCTTCATTCATGGTGATGCACCAAAAGCGTTAGGATTATTCTCTTACTAAACGGTACAAACTCTCTTTGGTCATCTTCTAAATTATTTGTACCAGTGGCTTATATTATACTCAGTGATCAAGTTGACCAAACCTCATTCTTGATATGCTAATGAGTACATCAAAGTACCAACTCTAGAAAATTCCCTTCTCAAGAAAAGGTGGCTTTTCAAGAGTTGATGAAGAAAATTTAATTTTGTGAAATGGAACACGAAGGTTGCCTTCTATGTATTTTCATTATCACAATCTTAATTTCCCCCAATGCAGCTCCCTTTGGATGACTGGTAAGAAGATCACAGACTTGGGGAGGAAGTAAAAACACCAAAACCAAAACCACATTTGTGTATTTTAAACACCTGCTTTAGAAGCAGAACTACATACTTTTCTCTGTTTCTCAATTGACAATATATATTTTGATGTTTTTGCTATTTATTGTAACATTTTCTTAATACAGAATATTTTATAGGTGACAGTTTGCTAACCCTGATGATTTGTATATAATTTTATAAAGTAGGTATTTTTTACTTTGTATGCAAAATATGATATAAGATTTAAGGCAAAATGTTTATGTGTAATCTGTTATAGCGGGTTTTAATCCATAATGTATATAAAGGAATTAAATAATATAAGTTGTGCATAGTACACATCACATCTGCACTTATTTTTCTCAAACAGGTTGTGGCTCCTAAGAAAGCTCGATTAACAGAAGCTCAGAAGTCCTTAGCTGAGACAATGGAGCTTTTGAATCAGAAGAGAGCAGAACTGGCAGAAGTAGAACATCATCTGGAAAATTTACAAAAGACATTTCGTGAGAAAACAGAGGAAAAGGCTGCTTTAGAAGACCAGGTGGAACTCTGTGCTAAGAAACTTGAAAGAGCCTCACAATTAATTGGAGGACTGGGTGGAGAAAAATCAAGGTCAGGTTTCTACTCATTTTAACAAGATTTAAGAAGGTCATGCTTGAACATGTGACCTCTGTTCCATATTTGTTACGATTACTTCCAATTTTAAAAATCGGAATGGTTAAAAATGGGAAAAAATTGTTTAAAAGAGACAAAGAAGGCAAATGGTAGTAATTTTTTATATAAGTGGTTCATGGTTGTTGGTTATACAATTTTTTCCATTTTTGTGTATGCTCAACAATTTTTGTAATAAAATATTTGGGGGAAGTACCAGATACATGACTCACTTTGGTTAAAATCTATTTCAAAGAAAATGTAACTGGCTGATTTAACAAAGCCAGTTAGCTTTAGTCTAATCTATTTACTTGGACTAGATGGCCAGATGTTTGATTTATTAATTATATTTGTTCAATGATAAGGTAGTAGGTCTTTGACAATACTTTGTAGTGAAGTTAGATGGTTTTGGAATAGCTTTTATTGTGAGTGAGGGCTTCATTGAATGGAAAAAACACCCCCATTACCAATAGTAGTTCAACTTCTATACTGCTTAAATATAAGTTTTTTGTAATGTTTCTGTGTTTACAGTCTAACAGTAAATACTGAAGTGAATAGCAGAGCCAATAGACTAAATCATCCTAAGGAAAATTATTAGGCAAAAATGCTGTTGTTTTGTTTGTTTTTGCTTATTCTGAAGGGTCAAGTCCTGTAAAAAATACCTGATACTCTATTATCATTCTTACAACATCACTCATATTACATGTGTGTGTTTTACCGCATATTAGAGCTCAAAGGAATCCAACTTCCTCACTTTTCAGAAAAGCAAGTACTCAATATTTCATATACTTTTGTTACAGAATTTGGACTAGAAGGCCCTTGCCCTTTCAACTACTGTCTTCTGTTATTCTCTATTGAGAATCTGTTTTGCCTTTGGTTTGTCACACAGATGGGCTCAAGCTGCAGATGACCTTCAAATAACATATGAAAATTTAACTGGTGATGTCTTAGTGTCAGCAGGAGTAATAGCCTACCTTGGTGCTTTCACATCTGGCTTTCGACAAACATGTACAAAAGATTGGAGCATGTTGTGCAAGGTACTAGTTCTATATTAAGTTTTGTTATAGAACATGCAAAGTACATTTGGGAATATTTGGGGAGAAAGGGAGATAATAAGGACAGAGAAAAAGAAGAAATAAATGAAAATATAGGGTCTTTCTGGTGGTGTTTATTTTCTGCTTTATTGACCAGTAAAATACTTCTACAGTCCAACTTTTAATTCAGGTTTTTCTGATCCTTAGAATTAGTACATAATACCTAATGACAATTCTATACTTTAATTTTTGAAATATTTCAATTAACAATATGAAAGAAAACATCAGATTTTTGTTTATTTCTTACAGGAGAAAAAAATTCCATGTTCAGAGGAGTTCCTGTTGAGTAGGACGCTGGGCGATCCAGTAAAAATCAGAGCTTGGAATATCGCTGGGTTACCAACAGACACATTCTCTGTAGATAATGGAGTAATTGTTAATAACTCTAGGAGATGGTAAGGAGCAGAAAATTTTAATTTTTTCCATTATTTTATTTGAAAGTTTTCAAACATATATTAAAAGTGAAAGAATTTTACAAGAAGCACCAGTATAGGTGCCACCTCCTGTATCCCACTGTTAACAATGCATTGTATTTGCTGCTTGTCCACATTAATGTGTCTAGTGTAAGTCCAGGCATTTCAGCATGCATTATTACTGACTAAAGGTCAACATTTGTTGCTTTTTCTTTGGAAGTAAAATTTATATACAATGAAATAAAACTTAAATATAACATTTTGTGAGTTCCAAAAAAATTTATATACCTGTGCAACCCAAACATCTCTGAAGGTAGAGGACACAATCACCAGCTGGCCTTTGTGTCCTTTTCACTAAGTCCCTGCCTCACCTCACCCCAGAAGATCTTTGTTCTGGTTACTTACCATCAAATGTTAGGTATGCCTGTTCTAGAACTTCATATAAATGAAGTCTCACAGTGTGTGCTCTTCTGTGTAAGGCTTCTACAACTCAGCACACGTTTTTTGAAATTCATCCAAGCAACTGCATGTTTTGGTACTTTGTTTCCATTTTTAGTTGCTGAGTAGTATTCCTTTGTATGACTATCACTATTTATGTATCGTCCTATTAATATAGATCTGGGCTATTTCTGCCTTGTGCATGCTAGGCAAGCGCTTTACCATTGGAGCCACACCCAAGCCCTTTTTTTGGTGTTTTGTTTTTGAAATAAGGTCTCCCTAAGTTTGCCTTGGACTGACTTCAAATTCAAAATCTTCCATCTTTCACCTCCTGAGTAGCTGGTATTATAGGGATGAGACACCATGCCCACTACTTTTATCCTTTTAACCTTTCCTTTAGTGAGAACTTATGAACTGGTCTGAAAATGACTTTAATTTTCTCCTCAATTTTAATCAAAATATTTAGATCATTTTCACACAATGGAATTATTGTCACATTTTTATTTAAATATACCATCTGGCTAGTTCTTTGCTATCTCATCTGTTCTTTTTCTACTTTGATTGAGATTAATTGAATATTTTATGGTTTCATTTTTATCTCCATTGTTGGTTTATTGGTTATACACTCCCTATTTTCATTGTTTGCTCCAGTGTTTATAATATCCAGCTTTAATTTATTACTGAACACTTTCAAGTACTTTCACATTACTATTTATAAATAGGCTAGAGAAGTGGCTTACTGGTAGAACACTGCCTACCATGCACAAAGCCATAAAAAACAAACAAATTCCTAGTATACACATAGCATAAGAACCTTTCAACAGTATATTTTTATTATCTTTCCTATCTATTGTGCTGTTTTATATTTTATTTTCATTTGCTTTTAATTCCAAAACACATTGTTACTATTTATGCCTGAGACAGTAATGTATCTTTAGACTGATTAAAATATAAGAAAAAAGTCTTCTATATTTACCTTCATCCTCCCCATTTTTAAACTTTTTGATTTCTTAATTTTTATTTTTGGATCTTTTCATTTCTTTATGTTTCTGTCTTGTTTCATATTTCTTTTGCCTGAAGAATGTCTTTAACACTTACTGAGTTCAAATATGCTAAAAATAAATTCATTCAGCATTTTTGAAAAATATTTATTTCATCTTCATTTTGGAAAGGATTTTCTCTGAGTTTAGAATTCTGGGTTTACAGTTGTTTTAGCTTTTGTTTTTATCATTTGTTTGTTTCCTTTAAAATGTCAGCCCATTGCTTCTGGCTTGCATAGTCTGATGAAAAATCTGTAAATCTTATTTTAGTTCCTTTTTACATAAAGTGTCTTTTTTCCCCCCTCTGGCAACCTTCAAATTTTTCTTTATCTTTAGTTTTCAGCAACTTGATGTGTCCAGGTGTGTAGTCACATGTGTGTGTGTTTACATCTTGATATTTATCCTGATTGAAGTTCTCTGAGCTTCTAAGATCTACCTCATTGTTTCCTTCTCTTTCTTGGATATGTTGTCACATTTGTAAGTTCTGTTTTGTACAATCCCATCATAAAGCTCTGATCTGCTTTTACCATTCACCACTCTTTTCCTTTTTGTGTTTCAATCTAGATAATTTCTGTTAAGTTATCTTCAAATTAATAACTTATATTAGCTGTCTCCTCAGTTGTGTTAGTCTCCTTCGAGTCCATGAAAAGAATTGTGTCTGATATCCTATTTTTTATTTCTAGTATTTCCACTCAATTCTTTCCATCTTTCTGCTGGTGATCATCTTCAGGTATGCTGCCCACCTTTTCTACTAACTCTTTTAACTTTTAATCATAGTTATTTTTAAAATGCCTGTCTGATATTTTCAACATTTGTGTCATCCCTCAATATGTTTCTGTTGGCTTCTTTGTCCATTGAGAATATTTTGGAATGTTTCTTGCTTATTTAAGTTTCATATAACATTTGACTAAATGCCATAGATCATGAGTCTAACAATAGAGACTGAGCTAAATGGCATTTACTCCTGGAAGTGGACGTGCTTCTTTATCATACCACCAGTGCAGAAGCTTGATTCGGGGTCATCACGAAAAGAGCTAGGTTTGGGTTTTCTTGTTGCTCTGGTAAATTGCAGGAAATTAGAAGTTTCAAATTCATATAGTTACAGGTCCAAACAGAATAGGGGCTGGAGTTCTGAAGTATTTTCTCAGTATTAGAGTTTTACCTTCAGCTTTCAACCATTCCTGTATGTCCTTGCCACGGAGAGTGGTGGGGTCTCTCTCTCTACTTATACTTCCCATAAAGGTAGGTTGCTGTTGCCTGGTACTCTGGGTTAGGCTTATGTTGGAAAAGGGTGGAGGTTCTCTATTATTCTGCATCATACTCAGTTTTAGGAAGGCCCTGGGCACATGGGCCATGGAGCAGACTTTTTCAGGCTTCCTGCCCTTCCTTCCTATGACAGCTAAATTCTGCCTCTGGCTATGGTTGGTTCATAAGCAGTTGTTTCCTACCCCTCTCATAGGAATAAGTCATTATTTGGTAAATATTGATAAGTTATGATAAGTTTGGGGCCAGATATTTTCCTGCCTCTATCCCAGGGTTTGAGGATTGGTTTTTGTTTTGGTCTTGGTTTGGTTTGTTGTTGTTGTTTTTTTTTTTTTTTTTTGGTTTTTTTGGTTTTTGACCTTTCTTTTAGCTACAATTTGTATTTTGCTTCCAGGATTCCTAGGAGTATTGTTGGCCAAATTTATATCAATTTTCCAGCTCAAGAGTTTCCTCAGTCACACATATAATATGAATTTATACACTAAACCTTTTTGAGGTATAAACCCATAGCTACAGATCCTCAAGGGACACTACCAGCCAGAGGGAAGATAGGAATCAAAACATTTCATTCTTACCTCCTTATGTGTAGGCTTGAACCAATACCATCTATTAAAATTGCCATGATGACAATGTTGGAGAGAGCATAGCTCATAGGTTCACAAGATCCTATTTCTTCAAGTAGGTGTTTGGGATCTTGGGGTCCTGGACAGTATACTCCCTGAAACTAAATCTCTTCATTTGAAAAATAAATGGGAATACAATTCCTTTTCACTTTTTTCTCTCAGGACTTTTCTGAAGATTAATCTTGATTTTATATTTATATATATATATATATATACACACACACATGTATAAAATACTTTGTGCAGAATGGTAGTGATATTTATTATTTAAATTACATATTTTTAAGCAATCTTGACATTTGTTTATTCTCTTAGAATTTTTGTTCTTTTATTTCTAGGCCTTTAATGATTGATCCCCAGGGTCAAGCCAATAAGTGGATCAAAAACTCTGAGAAAGAAAATCAGCTTAGTGTAATTAAGCTATCAGATTCAGACTATATGAGAACATTGGAAAACTGTATTCAGTTTGGAATTCCACTTCTACTAGAAAATGTTGGCGAAGAACTGGATCCATCTTTGGAACCTTTACTACTTAGACAAACTTTTAAACAAGGTAGATGGCAGTTAATATTGGTTGGCAGAACTGAAAGATGACTGGATTTTTTGTTTGTTTTTTGGGACTGGGGTTTGAATTTAGGACTTTGCACTTGCAAAGCAGGCACTCTACTTCTTGAACCACAGCTCCAGTCCAATTGGATTATTTTTGAGTATTGAAAGAAAATCACTACATAAACTTAATAATGCTAATAACTCAAAGCTTCTGTGTCATTGTTTTGAATGAAAAGAAATTTACAACAAGCTATCATGAATGAACCTTGGTTGAGTATTCTAAGATAATTATCTCACCCTTTCTTCTTTACCCTAATCACTGTTATCTAGACTCCTGTTCTATGGAAAGTGTGAAATATATCTTGTGACTATCGTCCACACAGATCCATTTCTATGAATAGAGATGGTGAATGTAGGCCAGACTTGAGTTTAGGCAAACATTTCCGACCATGTATCTTTCTGCTTATGAAAATTTTATCTCTGCCAAGTGGCCAAGTGCTAGTTCCTTTAAAAACTTTAGTTATATACAGATATTTTGGAATCATTGTTGAAATTTGATGGAGGAAGGAAACTCAGAAGAAATCTTGATTTATAAAACTCCATGACAACCACAGAAAATATCCTATAGTACTCCAGAATGAATCCTACTACATAGTTGCATACTTGCCTCTGTGTCTGTGACTTTTGTCACAACTGTTTTCTATTTCAAATTTCTTTAGAATTTTATTTGTAACCTAGGCAAGGCCTTAGAAGTACATAGGGGGATGGCTATGGAACTTTGGCTCATTTATTGTACATTTGTTTTCTTTAATACAGGTGGCATTGATTGCATCAGACTTGGTGAGGTTATTATTGAATATTCTTTTGATTTCAAATTTTATATCACCACAAAGCTAAGAAATCCACACTATATGCCAGAGCTGGCTACAAAACTGTCTTTGCTCAATTTTATGATAACTCCAGAAGACTTGAAGATCAGTTACTAGGTATTGTTGTTGCAAAGAGAGGTACGTATTTTCTTAAATGCTTGTAGATGGATGGTCTAGACACAAAATATTAGTAGGCCATTATATTTTTGTGATTATTTGAAATTGCTAAACTTTATTATTGCAATTAAAATAATTATGTAATCCTTTAAATAGCCAGTTAGTAATAAGTAAATTATAAGCCAACCATGTAATATGGGGTTCTAGTATGGGAGTCAGATTACATGCATGACTTCTGACTTGTTCTGATTGAGGCAGAAATTCTACCTGGGAAATTATGCCTTGGATATAATCATAAATGTTTTCAAAGCCTTGTTACTGAATGTTAATGAAGTTAGAAGATGTTTGAGATAAGAAGGAAAAAAGCCTACTACATATGTATAAGTAATATGTTGTTTTAAAATTTGATGGGTGTGTCTGGCGGAGTGGTTTCAGTGCCTGCCAGCATGTGTGAAGCCCTGAGTTCAAACCCCAGTATCACCAAAAAAAAAAAAAAAAAAGATGGGTAGATATCTGTATATATATATAAAAAGATTATGGATGGACATCTATATATACAAAAGAAAAAAAGATTGGGAAGGAATATTCCTTGTTGCTAACAGTAATTATTCCTGGTGTGGTAAAGACTATGAGTAATTTTTGTTTTCTCCATACTTTTTATATTATTCATTTACTTCTATGTGTGGGGGTTGTTGTTTGTTTGTTTTTGCAGTGCTGGGGTTTTACACTCAGAGCCTTATGCTTGCTAGGCAGGTACTCTACCACTTGAGTCACTTCACCAACCATAATAGGTGCTATTTTTTTTAATGAGAAAAAATAATACCTAGAGATGCTACAGTAAGAATTGCTTCTGTGAGGAAGTCTTTGATTCCACTTAAAACTTTTTTTTAAATGTAAAGCAGAAGAGTTATTGAGATAGAAAAGAGTAAAGTGGGAGAGTAGAGTCCCAGGGATGGGGTCCACTTGAAACTTAATGTTGCATTATCAAATGTTGTTACATTAAATCAAAATAAAAGTGAAAGTATGCAACTGTAAGGTAGTTTTGTTACTTTCAATATTTCATTTGTGTTGTATCTAAGGTAGAACCTGCATAAGATTTTCTATAACATGGTGGGTTGTGTAATTTTGAAGTTTTATCCCATCATTATTTATTAAGACAGAGACATCAATTTTCCTTTCACCTAAAAAGCCAGTTGTGTGACCAGTCATCCTTTCTGGTTTCCTGTTATAGAAGAAATGATGAAATGAAAGTTGATGACAAAGCAAGGAAAGATAAAAATTTTCTTACCCTGAGTCTGTTCTCTCATTCTTATTCTCACATAATTTACTATGCCACAAGAATAAATCAAATATATCCTTAGATTTAATGGCATATGTTATCATCACATTTTACATATATAAGTAAAGCTTTTTTTGCTTAAATTTCTCATATTATTTAGATGCAAATATTTTCCTTAAGTTACAATTAAGAAATCAATCACTTAGTTTATATGTCAGTCTTTAAAATTATTTAAATGTCCACAAAATTTTGATAAATTTAGACTAAATGTTTCTATCTTTTTAGACCAGAATTAGAAGAGGAACGGAATGCTCTTATTCTTCAGTCTGCAGCTAATAAGAAACAGCTAAAAGAAATAGAGACAAAAATTTTAGAAACATTATCATCTTCAGAAGGGAATATTTTAGAAGATGAAAGTGCAATTAAAGTGTTAGACTCTGCCAAAATAATGTCCAATGAGATAACAAAGAAACAGCAGGTGAGAAAAGAATTCTAGAAGTGTTTTGATTCTAAGATTTAACTTGCTTCCAGTCTCTGAGGAAAATGCTATGATAGGCTTCCTAGGAAAGAAAAAGAATTGATAAACTATGAAAACATAGGAACTATTTTAAACTCATAAACAATATCTTCTTCTTTGAATTATTCAAAAAATTGGTCCAACCTATATGGTAATATATAAACATATAAAATAAATTTAGAAGATTTTTTAAATGTATTTGTTATTTTGGATAAGAAAAACAGACTAGGTCACCTAAAAATTGAATTTGAGAACTTGTCTTTCCTCTGTTAGTGGTTGGAGTTTGAGGTGTGTGGAAGTAGTTTCTGGTTGACTGCACAGCAGATGGTTCTAGGAACCAATGGGGTTGTTCCTCTGACTTTAACTCATCATATGTACATCGGGAAGATAGATATGAGAGATGCCAGTAGCAGGTGGAAGAAGGGAGGCAAGAAGTCTACAGCCAATAACATAGTTATTACGAATTCACCTAACTCGACCAAATGCTGTTTTTATATTCTGTTTTTATAAAATCATACAGTGTTGTATGTGGAAGAGACCTTAGCTAGCAGGTCTCTTTTGCACTTCTTTTTGACCCTATTTTTTAATCTTGGTGTTTCTCTTCTCCTAGATTGCAGAAAAAACAGAACTTAAAATAGCAGAGTCTCGAGAAGGCTATAGACCCATTGCTAAGCATTCATCAGTATTGTTCTTTAGCATTGCAGACCTGGCTAACATTGATCCCATGTACCAGTACTCTCTCATCTGGTTTGTGAACCTTTATATCAACTCTATTCATGACAGGTAAGCATTCTATAGTTGAAATACTTAGAGATTCATAAGAAGTTACACACCATAAAAAATGTACCCTTCACTCACTTTCTCCAGTGGTAATAACTTGCATAACTATAGCACAATATTGCAACCAAGAAATTGACATTGGTATAATCCAGAGAGCTTATTCAGATTTCACCAGTTTTACATTCACACGTGTGTAAATTGAAATGTTTTTAATAGTGAATACTTTGATAACATAAAAAGCTTATTTGTTAATTCATGTTACTTATTTTTCTTAGTTTTGTTTGACAATATATTTTCTTTTTTTTAACCTTTTAGTAATAAATCCAAAATTTTGGAAAAGCGCTACGATATTTAAATGATCACTTCACATACAACTTATACTGTAACATATGCCGATCACTATTTGAGAAGGACAAGCTATTATTTCCTTTTTACTATGTGCTAATCTTTCTTCTGTAAGTTACTTGCTTTTTCTAATTTACTTATTTTAAAAACCTAACTTGAAAATCTAATCTATAAAGATGCTTCTCGCAGAAGAATATAATTTTTGTTTGGTTTAATTCGTGATTTTACTGTTAACCGTGGTTTCTACAACAGTATTGGTGTTCTTATGTTTATATGGTTTTTTAAATTTTTGTAAAAGTTCACAAAAATGTAACGTACAGCTCAATAAATTCTTACAAAGGGGAAATTGGTCAAGAAGTAAAACACTCCCAGCATCCCCAAAGCACTTCTCTGTGCTCTACCCTTTCACTCTGCCTAAAGTAGCTGCCATCCTCACCTCGAATACACACTTTACTTTTGTTTATATAGAAGCAAAATCAAATAATATGTGTTATTTTATTTGGCTATTCCTCAACATCATTTTATGAGATTTATCCATATAGTTTAATCATTTGTTTGTGTTTTTATTGCTTTATAGTATTCCGTTAAAGAATACATTAAAGTTTATCTATTCTCTTCTTTTTTTCCTTTTTGGCAGTACTCAGTTGAACTCAGGATCTTGTCCTTGCTAGGCAAGTGCTCTACCATTTATCTGTTCTACTCTTGATGAAGATTTGAGTTGTTTCCAACTTGCAATCATTATAAATTATAGAGCTGTGAGCATTGTTGTATGTAGCTCTTGGTGCACATGGGCACACATTTCTTTTAGGAAGATACCTAGAAAGAAATGTGTAACCTATTTTCTAGAACTGTTGTACTATCTTACATCCTATTAACAGTCATCAGCATTCCATTGTTCTAAATCTACACCAACATTTCAAATTAACATTGTTTTTGACACATGGTCTCACTCTGTAGCTCAGACTGGGCTTGAACTCATTGTCCTCATGCCTCAGTTTCCTGAATACTGGGATTATAGGCATGCACCACGTATTACCATTTTAAAAGTACATTTTGGTATGTAATAAATATTACTGCATCATGGGACCCAGTGTCTGCTGCTGAGAGAGTTCTCGGGCTCTTAGCTTTGGCATTTGTGTGATTTCCACTGGCAAAACCATAGAGAAGAGGGAGGGGTGGGGGAAGGGGGGGAGTAATGACTTAATCATTATATGCACATATGAATAAAGGAAATTTTAAAAAAAAGCCATAGAGAGGACACTTGGACATGTCAGAAGTAGAAAATGGAGTCAGTGACTTTTAAAGATGTGGCTGTGAATTTCACCCTGGAGGAGTGGGCTTTGCTGGGTCCTTCCTAAAAAAGCTTCACAGGAAAGTGATGCAGTAACCTTTAGAAACCTGGCTTCTTCTGTAGAGTCTACATTTTAGGGAAAAAGCAAGACGATTCTAAAATTGAAGATGACTACAAAACTTATCAAGTGGTTCAGAGCCATTGTGAACCTAAAGAAGGTAGCCATGTGGAGCCTTCAAGCAGATTCCAGTTACAATTGTGAACAAGACAGCTCTTCCTGGCATAAAATCATATGAAAGCCAAAGCCATGTGTGTAGAGAAATCCTCACTGGTCATTCATCTCTAAATAATGTATCTCGGTGTTCATACTGAACACAAACCTGATAAACACTGGAAATTTAAAGAAAAGATGTATAAATGTAGGAAATGTGGTAAAGGTTTATCCCAGTTTGCTTCATATCATGAAAGGGTTCACACAGGAGAAAAACTCTGTGTATGTAAGCAACATGAGAAAGCAATCACAAAATCCTGTAACCTGCCACAAACATGAAAGAACTCATACTGGAGAAAAGCCCTGTGAGTGTAAGAAATGTGGTAAAGGTTTCATTTATCACATTTCCCTTAGGTCCCAAATGGAGTCACAATAGATGAAGTAGAGAGAAGCCCTGTGCTTATCAGCAATGTGGGAAAGCCTTGACTCACTCAGGTAACTTGTACAGACATGCAATGGCTCTTATTGCAGAAAAATCCTATAGATGTAAGCATCGTGATAAAGGTTTCCCTTCGAGCCCATGAATGGATTCACAGTGGCGAGAAACCCTGTGTATGTGAGCAATGCTGAAAAGCCTTCACTCTGTCCAGTCATGAGCATGGACATAATATGACTCTCACTGGAAAGAAGCCCTGTGGATATAAGAGATGTAATAAAGCCTTGACAGTTTTTAGTTCTCTTCAGAAACATGAAAGAACTCACATTGGAGAGATTTCTTTAATAGCGAATATGGGAATGCTTCAGTACCATATGACCTTTCTAGCAAACCTGACAGTGCATAGGAAAGAGTGGTAGTATCAATGTGAAGTGCATGGGAACACTTCCAGTCATCTGGATTGAATTGACATACACAAGGGTGCATATTATGGCAAGATATTCTGAATAGAAGGATGTGCAAAAGTCTTTAGTTGACTCACACTCAGAATGTGCCCACGATCAAAATCTTGTCAACGTAGAAAACAGAACCAAGGTGTCAGTTGGAACAAGCACTTTCAACCTCCTGTGAAAATTCATAATGTACTGGAACCTATGAATATAAGTCTTAGAAGAGTTTGACATGCAATAATTTGTATAGAATGCTCCAGAAATTACCTGAAAGAAATCCGCTAGATGTTAGAAATAAATTGCTTTTGACCATGACTCATACTTATTTTGGACCATGTATTTCTAATTTTCACTCTTTTTTCTCTTGGGGTGCAGGGGTTTGAACTCAGGACCATGTGCTTACTCTCTCCCCTGAGTTAAGACCCCCACCCCACTTCACTTTAGATATTTTTTTGGATTCAGTAACACCTGTGTCCAGAGCCGGTGTTGGACTTTGATCCTCTTCTGTATGCCTCCCTTGTAGCTTAGCTTATAGTTCATGCCACCCTCCTAGCCTATTTGGGTTTTTTGGAAATTTTTGTTTTGTTTTTTGGTGATATTGGGGTTTGAACTCAGGCTGCATGCTTGCTAGGCAGACATTCTACCACTTGAGTCAGACTCCAGCCCTGACCTAGTTGTTGACATGAGGTCTGTCTACCATTTTTGCAGTGACTGGTTGAGAAACTGATCTCTGCCCCCTGGTTGTTAAGATTATTGGGTTCTCCATCGTGCAGTGTCCTAATTTTCACCCTTGAAAATAAGCATCGAGGTGTTGAGATTAATAGGTAGTATCCTTTTTTATCATTAATTAATTTTTCTCCTTTCATTTGGAACCATCATGAATCCATGCATGAATTTAAATGTATTTGTAATAGCCCATGAAGCCTAATTTGTAAATGTTTTTTTAAATAAGTTTATTTGAAGGGCCACTGAAACATTGAGTTTAACGAATTGTTGGAATTTTCTCCTTACCTCATATGGCAGGTTCTTTTTATATTTTTACCGCATCCTTTTTTTGGGGGTCTCAAATGATATTTTAAAGGTAGATTTTATATTTTTAATTTCTGGATGTATATTTTCTTCAAAAGCTTTTTGTTCATTTTGTAAAGAGTGTCTTAGTTTTTTTAGCCAACTTATTGATGAACAAATGTTACCATTTTCATTTACTGATATCTGCAAGTATCCCATCTTACTCATGAATAAGACCAAGAATACTTTTTGTCAAATAAAGTATAATGGATGTGAATACATTTAAAAAAAAAAAAAACAAACCTGAGACTGCTCGTTAACTTTGCTGAAAACAGGGGCATCTTTTTCTGAAGTCAGCATTATATTGAGGAAGCTTATGCATCAGCCCAAGTAGGTGGCAAAAACTAATAAAGAGCTCTACCATCTTTTGGTGAGCCTCATGACATGAAGGGTTAGAGTTTTTCCAGTTTAACAGTTCAGAAGTAGACTATGGAGCGTAACTCTAATAGCAGCCCATTGGTTGCACCTGGTCATTTAGCCCACCTGTGGGATATTGTCTCTATGGGAATTTTCCTGCCCACTTGGTACATTCAGACCAACTTGGGTCCTCTAATGGGTCTAAGGGAAACACCATTTCAGACTCACACCACATCAGGGAGGTCGCTGCTGATGCTCTGGCATCTCCTTTGGCTAGAAGAGGAGCCAGCTAAGTGTATGAAAAGGGGTGCAGGATCTATTGGAAATGGGGAGCTTCAGAATTCAAAATAGTTAGCAATGTTCTTTCCTCCCTTTCAGCCTCTTCCTCATCATCCTGCAGGGGTTTCTTTACTTTTTGGGGAAGTGGGTGGCATTGGGGTTTGAACTCGGCCACACGCTTTGATCTACCCCACCAGCCCTTTTTTTGTGATGGGTTTTTTTGGTGATAGAGTCTCTAGGATTATTTTCCAATGGCTGGCTTAAACCATGATCCTCTGATGTCTGCCTCCTGAATAGTTAGGATTAGGGGCGTAAGCCACCAGCCTGCAGGGATTTTAGCTTCAATGTTTGGGATCTTTGCATGATGAATTTGGTTCCTTCCTTAGAGGCATTTTGATTATGCAAAAACCATAAAAGATTGAACATATGGAATCTCTTCCCACCTTTCCAGTTTTTGACAAAACAATTCCAACTGTAAGATAGTGTGGAAATTCAATGACTCATTTTGGGCCACTTCTCCTTTGCATCTAGTACATACTTAGGGCATATGGTATTGCAATAATACATCTTTTTCTTATTCATAGGTTTATAGCTATATAATCTATATAGCCAGGAATCTAAAATTCTCCCTAGAGGGCTCCATGGTAGTACAAACTCAGTATTTCCCATGGTTACAAATTTACAATACAGATATTCCAAACACACTGGTTCCCGGTATCTTGTGTCTCTTCTTTATTATTTGATCCTGCAGAATTTCAAGTTTTCCTGTCAAAAAACAGTGGCCTGGGCTAGGTGCATGGCTCAAGCAGTAGAGCATCTGCCTAGCAAGTACAAAGCCCTGAGTTCAAACCCCAGTACACAAAAACAAAAGAAAAATGGCTAGAGTCATGGCTCAAGTGGTAGAGGGCTTGCCTAGCAAGTTTGAGGCCCTGATTTCAAACTCTAGTGCCACCCCTAAAAAAAAGAAGAAAAAGAAAACTAGTGGCCTAAGCCCTAGCTCCCAAAACACTCAAATAACAGAACAACAAGACATAACACAGAATTTCAAATTTCTTGTCAAAAAAATGACCTGTTCAAATGTCAAGAAAAGCAAAGTCCAATATTCACTACTGGAGAGGACTTGCCAAGGATCCTACTCAAAAGGCTTCTAAACTCACTCTTTCTCAAATTCACTGAATAGTGGTAAAAAGCAATTCATACTGCTGAAGTGGAAAGAATAAAAAGTCCCTGGAATAAAGGCAACTCCAGAAGCTGTGTAGGACTCTTGGATCTCTCCCCTTTTTCTAGGGTCAACTTGCTACAAGTGGCTTACTTGCAGAAGGCGTATTTTCTCTTGGCATGACTCATCAAAGTTGAAACCAGAGTTTAGGGGTAAAAAGCCAGGAGTTCCAACCAGATAGGCTTGGCCACCAGTCCTATCCCAATGTGCCAATTAAAAACAACAAAATGGTTAATGACAGAAAAAGGCAATTTTATGAAATACAGCCACTGGGGAATATGGACAATGGGATTTAGTGACTCCAATATCATCTTTGGGATACTGACATAAATTTTAGGCTTACGTAGAAAAAGGAGTTTGGAGGCCGAGGTGAGAGTTCCATGTAACTTCTGGCTGTCAAGAATTCATCTCTCCCAGCACCCTTGATCTCAGAGAGCTAATTAGGTTTTAGAATCCCCATTCTTTGCCTGGCTTCCTGGAGTTTTGCCCTACTTAAGCAGGCATTAGTGATTCATCAATAGAATCAAGAGGGTATCAATGCAACTTTCCTAGACCCTCTTTTTCCATTC